TTTTCCTTCTGAAAAGAAAATTTCATTGTGTACCTTGAGTGTTGAATCAAGCTTTCCCGACAAAGCTAGTAGAAGTGTAGTTTTCCCGGAGCCTGGAGGGCCCAAAAGCAAAGTCATTCTGCATATCAGAAGCACTAATCAGATATTTATGAACTGATAGAACCAAGTTTTATTGTTTAAACCAGGGAGAAGAAAAGGCCTTCACACCTGCAAGGCCTTACAATCCCACTGATATCATGAAGGATAGATATTGGTCTCTTTCCACTTGGCACAATATGCAGTGCACTTAGTACTCCCTAAAATGAAAAAAAGAAGAAACACAAATAGGACTGGTTAAAAACCTTCTTGTTTTACGTACACTATACATTTATGATCCTCTTTATGATCAAATTCTCCAATTTAAAAGATCAGCTTATTACCATGATCTTATTCACAAAAAAGTTTAGGACCGTTGGAACACCCCGGTTCCCCACATATGCCTCAGCATCTATGTTAAGATGATCAAATCGAACCTCAATGGTTGGGTTATCAATTCCAACACTGAAACAGAGAGAAAAAAGGCATATATAAACAGAGAGAATTTGTAAACTTTGTTCTACTTTTGGTTTTTTTATGATACTCACCGTTCCATGCGGTCTCTAAGCTTAAGGAGAAACTTCTCATTGTCCTCTTCTGCGGTTTTGACCAGCTTCTCAAGCAGGTTCTTCCTCTCCAGAATTCCAAGGTCCTGTATGTCGACTTCTTGTGCCGGGCCGCTAGCTCCGGTGAGAATTCCTTTCCTCATGCGATCATAGGTGGGGAGCTTCTCGAGCACTGCCCATTTCAGGGCCTCCTCGTCATCCTCCTCCCGTCCAGATCTGCCGAAGACGGTGCTTGTTGTTCTCCATGAGGAGGCACTTCGACTCATGCTCCTCATGCTCCCCCTCATGCTCCCTCTCACGCTTGCCAGTCTCATAGTACTCTCCATGTTTCTTCCACCTTAGCTTCTCACTTGCAATCTTCTTGCCTAGTTTATAAAGATTCAAGATTTGTTAAATTTCAGGTAATTGTATTCCATGAACAGCCCACGAGAACCCAGAGTTGATCTGTTGCTTCAAGTTTAAGAGGGGTTGGCTTGTTGCCTACTTGTAAACTTCTTAGGAGGGAAAGTTTCAAATTGGAGGAGTGGGTGTTTTGGTGCAACTGGGGAGCAGGGAGAAAGAGTTTTATAGTGCTAGCAGTTGTGGAAATGATTAGCTGTTTTGGCTTTATTATGGGAAGCTTCTTGGCCTGTTGTGTACCAAGTCTCAATTGGTTGCCATTTTTTTTAAGGACATAGTTTATGAGAACGATACTATCAATGAACTATAATAGTTTGATAGGAGAAAACTGTACATTTGGTCAAATAATGTTTATTAATATTTTTAACGAGGAACTTAGGTTGGACCTCGTTCCTATTTCAAGTAAGGATCCCAAGTTTCCTTTGCATGCGAGGTAATTTGATTTCTAGATAAGACTTCTCTAAAAAGGATGTTCCGCATAGGGGTGCAAACGAGTCGAGTCGAGCTCGAGCCAGGGGGTGTTCGAGTCGAGCCTGACAATCAAAACCCGAGCTCGAGCTCGAGCTCGAACTCGAGTCGAGCTCAAAATCCGAGCTCGACTCGTCGTCAAATCGAGCGGCTCGTTGAGCTCGCTATCGAGCCCGTCGTCGCGCCCGTGATGGGCGGTCCGTCGTCTCGCGACGCTCTCGCACCTGGGCTAGGTGGGAATTCGAGATAAATATATATATAAAAAAACATTTAGAAGGAGAAAGAAAAAAATAAAAACGACAATAACAATGTAGGAAATATAATCTTATATTTGTTATTAGGTCAATCAACAAAGAGAGTTGGCATAGTATGATCAATTAACACCTAAGAGCCCACTTGTCTAACTTAGAACCTAAGAAGACACTAGGAAGGAAAATGGATTAAAAAAGCATAAGTTGACCAAGTCAACAAAAATTGAAGTAAATAAGAAAAAAAAATCCTAAAGGAATAAACAAATTCCAAGACAAGGATGTTACCACTTATCTTATTAATTAATACCAACAACATACCATTAAATGGCTTCCCCTTGAAGCTTTTGACTAATGATAGGCACATTCATCCTAATGTGCAGATTTAGAAGATTAGGTTTTTGGCAATATTTCATATTTTCATCCCATATAAAAGGTTGAGCATGCTATGATGAAAGAGTAATCCCCTAAAAGCTTGAAAAAAAAAAAAAAAAAAAAATTCGCATCACCAAAATGGCTACTATATATGTTATGATGCACCGACACTTTATTAGAAAATAGTATATGTTTCGTGTCAGACATATTCAAAAGCGAAAACTTATGTGACATATCTTTGAGGCATGTCATGCATGCCATCTAGATATACATCGAAAAACAAATCTAATAAATGTCCTTGAATAACACAAGTATACAACACAACATCATGTGAACCACCTTCCTAGCCCCCTCGCATCAGGCTCCTAACACCCCAACAAGCCGCCTCCTCTCTTGAAGCAAACATGATAAGTTATATTTGTTTCTTTTATTTCTTTAAAGTCGAGCAATTGTTTTACTATTTAAAAGGGTGATATTTTTGTAGTCAATTAAAATAATGAAATTCATGGAGTTCGGTTAGAGAATTGATCATTTAATTATATGTAAATGCCTTTTTTATAATTGTCAATTAAAAAAATTTTTTTAAGACATTTGAGTCATTAAGTCAAATTCATACAAATATCACATATGCAAGCTTCAAGACCTCCAAGTTAGTAGCCAAAGCTCTCAACCAACAGACTAAGGTGAGCTGCGTAATCAATTATCTTTTATTAGCGCTCTTTTCATGTTTATTTAATTCATGCAATTACTGTACACAAATTTTAATTTTTTAAATATATAAATTATTATATGGTATAAAAAGTATACTCGTGTCATATATTTTCAATAATAGATGCATCCCATGTCTGTTTTGTATTTGTATCCATATCATTCCATCATAACTCATATATATCCAAGCCAAAAATTTATTCATATAAAGATATAAAATAAAACAAAACAAAATAAAAATTAGATCGCTTGATGGTCTCAAAAATAGGAGAGATTATTACGTGCAGAGTCCAGACACAATACGCGTCCAGATTTTTTGAGAGTACACAGCAAATGCACAGTAAATACACAATTTTGTACAAAACTGTATATTTAATATACATTTACTGTGTACCCTCACAAATCCGGATGGTTCAGACTCCGCACCTAATAATTTTTTCAAAACTAGAGGAATGCCTGATGCGCTCGGACCTCACATACAATTTTTTGAAAAAAAAAAAGATGCCTAATAAAACTTTGAATTTTTGGGACAATTAAATACATAACACCTACTTTTTCACTATTCACCTAATAATTTTTTCAAAACTAGAGGAATGCCTGATGCGCTCGGACCTCGCATACAATTTTTTGAAAAAAAAAAGATGCCTAATAAAACTTTGAATTTTTGGGGCAATTAAATACATAACACCTACTTTTTCACTATTTACAAAACTATCACACTCCTACTCCATTTCAAATTCTCATTAAAATATCAAAAATCACATTAAATCTCCTACTCGTACTTTTTTTTTTCATTTTTGTCAAATTTCTAATAATGTAATCTTGACATGCGCTAATACTCATGTTCAATAGTTTAATAAAATAGCATCTATATTAATTTTGTAAATAGATAAGATTTGAATGTCATATATGTAATTTCCCTATTAATTTTTTTTTATTCATGATTTCACTAATTTGGCACATTTGACCAAAGCCAATCAGCCATAAACTATTTTTAAATGTTGATCAAACGTGAGATAAGGGTTAATTAACAATAAATATTTATTAATTCATATTTTTAAGGCAAAATTTACATCACCTCGACGTGTTAACTCATCTTCTTCTGCCAAAGATATTGCCCACAAATTGAAATTTTATGCAAATCCATTCAGGTCGGTCTGAATGATTCAAATAAAATAAAAATTATTTCAATTCAATTATTATTATTTTTTAGTTTTATGTTTGTTACTGTGTTTTACTACTATTTTTTTGTTATTTTCAAGAGAATTTTACACCAAAAAACTGCTATAGAAAGTTGTATCAAATAAAGCCCGAATCATTAAGTTCAATTAATTGACTCGTCGAATCAAATAATTTGATATGATCATCATACTGATGTTAAATTATAAAAGATTTTTTTTTTTTAAATAAATAGACTACATTACTATTTATTATAATATTGGTTGAATGATTTTCTATAATGGTTTTTTTTTAATATGAGGAATGTTAGTAAGGGTGTCAAAATGAGTATTCAGGTAATTTGGTTCAGGTCAAATTCGGAATTGATTCGTGTCCAATTCAGATGATTCGAACCCGACTTGGTTGTATAAACGGGTCAGAAATCCAGTCATGAACCCAACCCGTTAGGTTGACCCTATCAGACCTACGAACCCACAATTGTACGTGCGCAAGATGCGCGATTGCATTGCGGGTGAAGACTGTCTGGCAGGACTAAACAAAGGCAACACCTCTGTTGCCAATCTTATCATCGGCCAGATCTCAATGTATATTAGTTGGATCCGAACGGATTTGTACATTTCGCTGAAGCGTTTGGTTGAGCCAAATGTCCACATTGATATGAAGGAGTGCCAAAAGGCCATTTCTTTGGACTCCCTCAAAGTTAAGTTCCCATTGACATGAATCACCTTTTCAATTTAATTATCATAAAATAATCCTTTTGCTGCCTTGGAATTCCCTTTTTTTGAGTGATAATTTATTCAACTTTAAAATAAATTTGAAAAGTTCTACCTTTTCCTTTCAAAATATAGTTTTTTTCCCCCTTAAATCAGTCAAATGAGCTATAACATACAACTAATACTAAAATTATTCAGAAGATTAAAAAAAATATATACTAAGCCAACATTATAAGATAATTAACTTCTTATTAATACCAAGACTTAAGATTTATTTATTTATTTATTATAAGTGGCTGTAGCATCAACAGCCTACAAGAGAAACTCACACACCCACACACAAAATAGGACTAATATCCTCTCAAGGAGGTAACTGTAACAAGTACAACATAAGATGTCAAAATAACATCTTGTCATGAAATCTCTCATTTTAGCTCTTTCTTCAAAGTGCTCAAACTTTCTCCCACAGCTACATTCCTGTAATATAAGTTTGCTTAGAAGCTAATACTGTAAAAATCACTATAATTAATTCACAAATTTTAATGAATTAAATTCAATAAAATTTATATGCATCTTAATTACTTTTTTATCATAATATATATAAATTTTATATTCATTTTTCTACTTTGAGATCCTCGTAGTAGAAATTATTTATGTATTACATTCAACTAAAAAAGATTCAAGAATTTTAAAGCTCATCCTAGTTTCAAATAATTTAAAATTCTTTAAATTTATTTTGATTTGAGTGTGATATATAAACATATAATTAGTATTACACTAATCTCAAAACAGATAAAAAATCTTTGGCATCAATCATGATAATTTGTTAATATGATATATATCCTGATATAAAGTTTTACTATAATAATCTTTTACCTTTACGGTACATATAAATTTCTAAATTTGTTGAACAAAGGTGATTAAGGATCTGTTTGGGATGGTACAACTTTTTATAAGGCTTATTGTAAAGTTATTGTGAGGAAAACAACTTAGACTTCATTTGGGATGACTTTCTTACTAGCTACTTCTTAAAACAACTTTTTAGTACAAAAGTTAAAACTTTTGTACTAGAAAGTTGCTTTAAGAATCAGTAAGAAAGCCGTCTCAAACGAAACCTTGATGTTATAAAAACAACTTTCAATAACATTTTTTTTTTTAAAGTAAAAATTCAATAGCCAAATAAATTGTGGTTGCTGTCTAAAAGCAAAGCGACAAAAAAGTTGTCTCAAACAGAACCTAAATCAGTAATGACGAATTATATATGTGTTTACCATTGTATTCCCTTGGCGCATTGCATCGATAGCACTCGAGCCTGCTAGCAAAATTGTGTTCATTACACCCGTACCTGAAACCAATTAAGCCAGTATTCTAGCTTTTAGCTAATACACATACTTAGTTGGTGATGATCAATAGAAAGAAATGCATAATGCATGTATATATTTATAATACCTTCTATATGACTTAGTGAAAAGTGATAAGAAAGTTAAAGTCCTAAGCCTTCCACAATGAATACTAAATCATGTGTGATACAATGACATAAAAATTGATCAGATTTGTTATGTGTTGCATGTGACCTGCCACCCTCACTACAGGAAATTTGCTGAATGCCGACGGTTTATAAACCGCTGAAAATTTTACAAACCCCCGGAAATTACCGCCGGTAATGAACGATTTTCCTATAGTGCCTTAGTTAACTTAAACACTAATGCAGGAAGGTGCATCATCCCTATAGTTATACATTGATAGTAGGGATGTGAATTTGTTACTTAACAATTTTAATTTACTGGTTGAGAGTTTTGGCTCCATCATTAGGGTTATGAGCTTGTGATTAGTATATGTTTATGAATTTGCTTAATTATAGGATTAAATTTGTTCATATTTTAAGAATATTGTTGGCTCGAAGATTGCATACATGAAAATAAGAAACATAAATTATTTTGAAAAGATCATTAAAACTTTAATTTCAATAAATATTTATAATTCTAAATCTTAAATTTTAAAAGAAACATAAATTATATATATAAGAAAATCATGAAATTTTAATGTGAGGGCACAAGCCCCTTAAATCTACCATTTGTATCATGTAAGGCTAGCTAGCTAGTTTTATATGCATTAAATAGCTTATAGAAAGTATGCATGCTACATGCATATTAAAAAAATAAAAATTGCTTCTAACCTGGTGCAAATCCAGTCACCAGATTTCCAACCTGGAAGGACACTTCCATAGCCAAAAACTGGAGTTCCAGCTCCAATAGCTACCCCTCCATCCTTGAAGCCCCCACACTTAAAGCAGCTGGTCCTGCTCGCAAAATTGTGAACACCGCATGCACAATACCAATCTCCAGGCTTCACGTCAATCACTCCTGGGGACCGAGCTCCGGCCGCGAAGCCACCGGCGTGCTCTCCACCGCCGATCCTCGGCTCACCGCAACGGTGGCACGAGTCGCGGCGGCTGAAGTTGAGATGTTGGCATGACCTGCAGTCCCAGTCTCCTGCCTTCCTGTTCATCTTCTTCACAGTACCGATATACTTCTACACCTAATAGAAATATCAAAGATATCTTTGTATTCAAAATATTTTATCGCAATATTTTACAAGAAAATGTGGCTAGAATTTCTTGGAAAATTTGAGAGGTGTGGCATTGTGTGATCAAGGCAATATTAATGTGAGGAAGGCTAGGTGAGTTTAAGGTGTGGAAGAATGCTAGAATTTTGGTGGGTTTTTATAGCTTGCAAAAGGTAAATTATCACTCTTTCTCTCTCTTCAATAATTGAGAATCTATCTAGTGTGGGAAAGCTAGTGAGGTGGTGTTCTTTTTACTCCTTGATGAAATAGCTAGCTAGCCATCCTTGAACAATGGAATCACAAAAGAGAGAAAGTGGGATAGCTTAGATGGGGAACGTATATATGTGTGTAAAGGTGAAAAATAATTAGGGATTAAGAAGAGAGAGAAACTAGAAAGATGGAGGATTTTATGAGGAGTTCACTTCTTTGTTGACTTGTCTTCATTTGGCATATTTATATCTATAGCTCTGTGATTTTCTATATTGTATATAAAATAAATATATTAAGTATTAACAAATCAGAAATTTCATATACTTATCAAGATAATTTACATGCATGCACAAAATGAATTTTGTTAAGCACATTTTATATATTTATTTATTACACTGCTACACAATTAATATAAAGACTAAGGCTTTATTCGAGATATCTTTCTTACTGCTTTATAAAACTGTAATTGTTTAAAGATGTTGTAGAAAGAAGATTTCTAGCAAAAAAATAATGGTCAAATAAAAATTATGACTATGATATGAAAAATAAATCACTAAGAAAACTATCTCAAATGAAGCCCAAAGCTTTTAAGATTTGTTGTAATTAGTTAATAGATGTTTTAGTCAGAAAATCATGAAGTTTATTCGTTAAAAAACATTCTTGCAATTTAATTTCATTTATCTGCTTCTTGCAACAACAACAACATCATCAAGCCTTTATCCCACTACGTGGGGTCGGCTACATAAATGTTTGTTGTTGTTGTATCTACTTCTTGCTTTCGTTGGCTTATGAACCTCGACAATAAATATGCACAAATAAGAATTTTTCATTTTGTTAATGTGCTTAGCCAAATGAAAGTTTTTGAGTTGGATCTTATTTATTTTTGCATGGTTCCGCTGCTGGAATGAATGTGACCTGCTAAGAAAGAAATAGAAAGATTGTATGGTTAATTGAATTAGATTATGACTTCATTTGTGATAACTTTCTTACTGCTTTTTAAAACAACTTTTTGGCATAAATTTTTAATTCAAAAAATTTTTATACGAGAAAGCTGTTTTAGAAATTAGTAAGAAAGTTGTCCCAAACGAAGCCTATGATTGAGTTGAAATTAATTGGATACTTAAAAGAAGAAGAATAAGAAGAGCTTCAGTGAATGTAGCACACATGCATGCCTCACTAAAAGGGCATTTTGTTACAGTAAATTAACTAAAATTGATGTAGACTTTATGAATGTAAGTATGCTAGTTGGCTAGTTGGGGGTTCTTGGGTGGTTGCTGCCCCTGTTTCACTTCGCTGTTGTTGCTCGGGTTTGATTGTTTATGGGAGATTTGCTTATTATTGGTGGGATGGTGGGGTTGTTGTTATGCTTTGTTTCTTTGTGTTTTGGACTGACTGCAGGCACAGGTCTCCTCTTCAGTTCTGGACGAGTTGCTGGGAGAGTTGGAGTGTTACCAGAAGCTCTTGTTCCAGATATATCCTTTTAGTTTTAATAGTATTTCCCCCAAAAAAAAAAAAAAAAGTATTGATCAAAATGATCGTAATTTTTTATTTTTTTTTATCAAAATGATCGTAAATAGTGATATCTTTTATCATCTCTATGTGAATGCAACTGCTAAAACTTGGCTCATATGTACAAAATATTTTAAAATAGAACACATTATTTGAACACGTTGGGTTCAAAATCTATTATTCTTTACACCCATCTACCTCAGTTGTGATCAAAAGGATACCTCTAGTATCAAAACCAAAACAATTTATAACAACACTTTCACCTACAAACTTCTCCTCTTCATGTTTATCATTTGCGTGCTATTTTTTTCTCTTTAAATCATAGCAATATATATTATGAGATATTTCTTTTTATAATAAAAGATGGTAATAACATTAAACTTATTATAAGTTTTACTCCTACTATGATTAGAAGTGGACTCATGACTATATGATCAACCCTTGAACCACAATAAACTTTTAATTAATCTCATCCTCCTCAAGCTAAATAGTTACTCCTTTAGTATAGTTTCTTGAGTGCTTTTAACAAGAAGTTAATGAGCTTAATAATGAGATTAAACTCTTTAGCGAGTAAATAGCTAGGTATATCATCTCACATATACAGCAACTAGAGTATCTTTATACTCCTAATAAAGTTTTTTTAGAAGTAAAGACTTTTAGTCATATTTATTAGTTAATTAAAACACCCCACATCTTCATTTTTCAAAGTAAAAAATCTTAAAAAAATCAAATTTCTTAATCTTAAACTTGATGGTCAATGTAGTTTTTGAAAAGCTCAACTTTGTTATCAGTTATTAATAAAAAAGCAAGCTTAACTTTATGCTATGAAATATAAATCTAGGAGTAAGTAAGATGAACTATAAAGTAATCTCAGAAGTGTTCAGGTAACACAAAAGAGCACTTAAATTTATATGATTCAGCTTAAGCTTTAGCCTAAGCCATTAGGAGAGGATGGAGAATCCAATCAAATAATAAATAAGACAAAATGATGGTGCACAAAGGCGCTCATCAACCCTTCCTAAAATCTGAGTACAGTACTCTTGCTTTATGGAGAAAAAAAAGGACTCAAGCCTCTTAAGAAAAAAAAAGAGAAAATAATTTAGAAGTGATAATAAAAAAGATGCGTAAGCAAATAGTAGAAAATTATCAACTTCAAAAATTCCTCAAAAAACTTCATCAATTTATTGAGATGATACTTCAAACTCTTGAAAATAAATTTCACGTCATTTCCTTCTCTTTCATTATCCTTCTTTCATGTCCTTTTTCTCTCTTCCCAATTTCTTCCCATCACCTCCACACAATAACTCAAAATTGCCTTATGCGTTAATGTATCAAGTTATTCACAGTCACCAATCCAACGTAAAGCTACCTCTGAGAGAGAGAGAGAGAGAGAGAGAGAGAGAGAGGTATTATTCAAGGATGTTATCTTTAGAATTGAGTGTGTGGAATTGTTGCGGGGGAGTTTGAACTATTCAGATATATTCTCTCCCTATATTGCTAGCAAATAAAGACAATAATGCAACAATGCAGAGGATATATGCTCTTGTTTTGCTGTTAAGAGAGGAAAAGTCTTTCTTTCTTAAATTATTACATAATGCTATAATGTGGATGATATATTCGAACAACTCTTGTTTATGCAAATAACAGATTGACATGTGTAGGCTTCAAAAACTTACTTTGCATCATTGCATGTGGCTCAAATGCTATAAAGAATGTCTTCGTTGAGTTCCTTCTAAAGTGTTAACAGTTATATATATATATACACACACACGCCCGGGCCTCTCAGTGGACCCCCTTTCTTTTTCTCCTTCGGGTCATTGAGGAGAGTTTTAATGCTAAATTAGTTCCGTGGCAAATTTTCAAAAAGCATATTGAATTGTGAATAAGACACTACCCAGAGGTTTCACCCTCATTTTGTGAGGACTTTATGATCTGAGTTCAGGTTTCTTATAGGCGCAAGCCCCTATAGTCAATTGCCCCTCCTGACAGCGAGCTAGAGCTGAGAGAACTTTCGATTAAGGCTATCAATTAGATATGTAGACATACGTGTAATCTGGTGTATAGTAGCAACGTGGGTTTAGCGTTTGAAAATTTGATATTTAAAATAAGAAATTTACCACCTTAAACTTAAAGTGGATGGTGGAGGGATGATGATGAACCAAATCATGATCCCATGGTTCTGTCGTCCCAAGTCATAAGATTCCTTAATCTACTTATGCAACTTAGTAGGTCTACAAGCAAAGAAAGAGGAATATTAAGGATATAACTTCCTTTCAATCAGTGCTGACCAGTTTATAAATAAATACACAACATTCTATCTATAGGAAATCATGCTTGATGTAATCTATTGGGAAGATAACAACTACTAAAATGCTATGAATACAAAAAAGCATAAGTAAAACACATAAGACATGATGATAAATGAAAGCACCTACAAGTTATGTAGCAAGAGCTGATGAATGTTGTAATGCTCTTGTAATCAACCATCATTCAACATCAAGCAAATATATTGGACCTCTACAAGCAAGGATGGAAGATCTTCAACACATATAATCTCTCTATGAAGATAAATGTTTGTGTCATATTCCACTGATGGGTTGATGCAGAAAGACTTCAAAAAATACAATATCTTTTAGTCAACCTCAATCTACAAATGAATACATTTACATACAGCAGTAGTGAATATGTTGTAAGGATCAAAATCATAATGAAATGCACAAAGAATGCAATGAATGCATGTTCATACGAGCTTCTATAAAAGCAGGAGATTAGTTAGTGCACTACAATCTACTTGCATAAATTATGCAAGTAGTGCACGACAGTCTACATATACAAAGTAGCAAACAACTCAATCTAGAAGCTGCTACAACACGCCACAGGATCCATAACAATCATGCAAGCGGACATAAGGCATTTCCAAATATTTTCAAAATATCCTCACACATGTACTGTAGCTTGTATATAAATAGTTACACTAAAAGGGGGTATCAATCAAACACCTGTATGGGCCCCAGTGAGCTTGTTATTGGTATACATGTGATGTCTAGAGATGCTACGCGGGTCGACAAGTGAATTCAAGTTTGAACCCGATCATTCTATACAGATCAATAGGAGTTGACATGGTTCTAACCATATCCTTTTATACAGATTAATAAGAGTCGATAGGGTTCGAACCACCAAGTAAATATAAGATTGTGGCACGAATATTTGTTTTAATACATTCATATTAGGCCTTCAAGACCTATAACAATATGAATTCACTAATAAAGGAACAAAGCCTACGAAACTCGTTCCCCTATCGGCAAATTGATAGGGTCGACAAGATTTAATCAAATGAAAATGATCCCAAACACCCCGATGATGATCATGTTGAATAGAAAATCTCAATCGGATGGGTCCA